TCTATAATGGAATCAAATTTCGTATTTGTCTTAATTTAGTATTACTATTCATGACATTTATAGGTAGGTATATAAATCTTATTGTTTTAAGTATATTATTATTATAGCAGTTCATGGTTTTGGTTTACCTTGTGTATTATGAGTAATTTAAGTCCCATATTATCCTATATTGTGTATTTTTTTATGACTAATGGTATAAAACTTAATGTTATATTGTCTCATCGCAGTCGTTTTCTCCACTTTCAACTAGACTTAAAAAAATGTTTCTTAGTTGACATATGGTATGTTTATTAAATACCACAACAGGCAGAGTTTAACTTTACATGTAGCAAACATATTTTAGTATTCGTATACATCATCGGTTGAGCCCTATATTGTTCTAGGTTCGGGTCGTGGCACCCATTTTGCTTTCTCCTTGTCATACAATACTGTTCAATCTTTTACTTTCTCTCATATGTGTATCTATGTGACCCATGGTCATGAACGGATATACGTTTACGGTATATGTAAGTGTTGTCATGGTTCATTTGTTTTCTGTTTGTGGACGAGAAATCAGTCCTCAGCCTATGCATATGGTCAACATGGATTTAATAATTGACTTATCCGCATGTTTACTCCGTTATTTATTATGAATGCGCAGTAAGAACCTACAATATCTAAATTATTAATTCATAAGTTATTTCTATTATTTTATACTAAAAATTATTTTCTAACTAAATTCCAAACTTGCAAGTAGTTGCATTATTACTTATTAATAGTATGAGTGTATAAATCGTGGTTTTAAAAATAAGAATTAAAAAAAAATGTATGTATTTTCTTTTTTAATTTCAAATTACATTTTTCAATCTTCAAATACTATTTTGAACTTATAAGCTTATGTTCTACATTATTAATGATACCTTGTTTTATACATTGTATACAACAATGTATTTTATTAAATAATAATACAGTACATTTCTGTATTTAAAAAAAACTAAATATTGCTTCTTAATTATTTTTTTAAATAATGTTATTATCTTTAAAGATTGCTTTTCGAAAATTCATATTCTTCATTGAGGTATAAAATGTATAAGTACCTATAATTAGATATAGATGTTGTATTAAAGTTTCAAATTTCAATATTTTATAAATATAATAAATTTCTATAGTAATTATAAGACAATTAACTTAATTAAGACCATACTATACAATATATATAGATAAACAATGCATATTTAATATTTAGATTTAACAGATATGAAATCTGCTATTTGTTTTAAAATTATCCATCTTAAATGTTATAAATTGTAATTTATATTATTCAATTTTATATTTTATAATTTAATTATGTATTGGTATTTTGTATTAGAACCTATAGAACTTCACAAGATATTGACTTAAAATATGTTAGATTGAAAGAAATCAATAAACCTACTAAACCTAGGTTAAAAAAACGGGAAGTCTCTGCAATATGATAGGTGTTGAGTGTTCATCATTATTGGGTAAGGTCACTGTAATGGCTGTGTTGTTACATTTAAATTCAATGCTAAATCATTATATATGAAAAATTATTCTAAGCGGGGATGGTCTATCATTCTATATTATTTCTAACATTTCTAGGGGTATTTAATCATATATTTCTACAATTTTTTTCTTTTAGTTATACGGTAGGTAGTTTGAACTATTTTGTCCAAAAACAAAACTCAAAATGTCTATTAAAAAAAGTATGTACATTTTTATTTTTGATAATTTTAGGCTGTTTTATAAGAAACGTTTATGAGTAACTTAGTATTACATGTTCAATCCATACCTATTAAACTATTAACATTATACTTGAATTATAAATAATTTGCAAATTTTCCTGGTTTTGACAAATTTGGTCAAAATTTAAACTTCAAACTCGTATTAAAATATTGTGATTTGCGATTTTGATATTTTTAAAACGTTAAGTATTACTTATTTGTATAGTTTAAGAGATCCCTATGCCCTATATTGAATTTTCAATTTTATTTTGACCAAAAACTAAAAATTGTATTAACATTTATAGAAAAAAACTAAAAAAGGTTTTATAATTTTAAACTTGTCTAATTATTTTACTGTGTATAATTAAACATTATTTAAATAATAGTAAACGTATCAAATTGTTATGGTTTATATATTTTGAATTATAACAAAATCATTTGAAGATAAATTGTAGGTATTATTCGTTTAAGTATCAAATTTCGTCCAAATTTGAACTTCAGATACTCATAAAAATTGATACTTAATAGTAGACTTTTTTTCTGGATTCTAGTAAGAAAAACTTATAAGAAACTTTGTTTTAAACATTATAGACAGTTTTAACATTTATAGAAAGAAAGTCAAAAATTAAAACAAATTTCTAGCTCAAAAAAAAACCAAAATATTTTAATAATTATACCATTTCTAGGAAATGCTAACGTAATTATTTAATGCAAATGTCAAGTATCTATTGTTAGTTTTTAGATTCCAAAAAAAAAAAAATGATAGGTAGGTACTTACTATAGTCATTAGTAATTATACTAATTAGTAATAAAATTTTTCGATCATTTGAATAAGAATAATGTTATTCAGTTACCTACGTTGTCTATCTTACAAATGGTTACAAACATTTTAATTTTTATAGTTTGCTGTGTCAAAATAATATTAATTATATTATACTTTTGTACCAATGATTGACCTAGTTCCAATGATTTAGTTTTTATATAGAATATTATATTACGTAATTTTGTTTAACAATGTAATTTATGCATGCAAGTATGCAACTAAATCATAGATAATATATAATATATAATATATTTGAAATGTTAGGTTGAGATAGGTCATATACGTATAGTGTATAACCATATAGGTATCTAAAAACCGCTTCAAAATATTTCCGCGAACTGTTATTGAACTTATTATATATTATTAAATCGCCCTGCGGTTCTCATGATACACAGAATGTTGCTCAACATTGGCAACTCTACGCCGTAATGTATAATATCTACGGAAACGTTTCTTATGTATGTATAATGTATATTATATTATATATAGGTACATGTGAAATATTATAGGCTCAGATAACTAGTTTTAAAAATATAAAAACCCGTTCTGGATTTGTAAGGAAATTGTGAAAGTAGTTTGTCGCCTTTAATACAAACTTTACGATCTTATTTTATGTTCTTAAAACTGTCGCTTTCATTAGAATGTATTAAATGATTACCTTCCACCCGTGGCCCGTATGTCATGACCCCGTGCTGCACACCTAGGAGATGTTTAACTAAACATTTAGTAAAAAATATTTTGTGTTTAAATATAAGCATGGGTTAGCCTGGTCTAGCCTCTATTTTACGAATTGCGCATTAAGTAAAAAAAACTCAAAAATATATGCTGGTTACTTTGCAACGCTAAGATTAAACATTTTATTGTTATAAATTGTTATTGGCCTGTATACTCGTGTAATATAAGAGGGAAAAGAAACTGATAAAATGTGGCTTAACTGTTTACCATAATACCATATTATAGTAATTGGTAGCTAGTTATCAGCGGTAGATTTTAATTGGATAACACAACATGAAAATATTCTATTAGAACTATTAAAAACGCTATCCTATTTTATATATTTTGTATACTTGAGTGGAATGGTTCAATGTTTTTTGCAACTACCAAGTGATATAATATGTAGTTAAGAATGTTATGTTATGCGGTTTTTTGAAGTATGATAGTAAAATAAATAATAGTCAATATAAAATTTGAATTGTCTGTATTGTATTATACACACTTTACAAATAATATTATACACTCATTGCATTAGATTTGCTAGTGCTGGACTATAAGTCCATCATTAAAATATAATACTTAAAATTATATTTAAAAATAATGCTTTTTGCTTAGTCATTATCATGAGCAATCTCGGGTTTCAAATTTCACTTGTAAACTATAACTATGGTTCGGACTTTTATTTTCAATCGCTTAAATAAAGAAATATTTGTACAACAATTAATGTCTATTTTAAAATCGAAACCTTAATCTTGAATACATCATTTTATCAATTTACAATAATATTAACCATATGTTTAAATGATCAAAAAATTAACATTTATGTTGTATGTAAGCGGTTCACTATCGATACTCGCGGTCGTGGACCAAATTATTATAGCACTTTCTTAGTTTACATCTAATGCGCCTTTGGTCATTATCGTAATTGAGAATTTCTCGAAGTATATAATATTATAATATGAAATACTAATAATTATATTTTAGTACTAACTTCCTTGCAATTTGTAAAAGCATAAAGACCATCATTTCCTAATTTTGTATTTGTTTATTTGATTTTTTTATTATTTTTTTAAAATAACTGGGTTAAATGTTTTGTCATACAAAAGATATTTAACTTGATTAAATTTAGCTAGGTATATTATACACTCGCTTATATGGCTACATAATTTAATGTATAGCCTTAGCCTATATTCACTATAATTCTATATATAATATAATATTATGTTTCTTGGCCTTTTAAATTATATTAATAAAATCTCTTGGTCTCTTGCAATAGGTTATGAGCTTGGGTTATTGTGAGTTATGAGTTATGACTAATACGTTAAGAATATGAATTCTAATAATGTGTAATAGTTAACTTGAGTCATATTTGTTTGCTTGAATCTATTCGATTACATTATAGTACATTTATAGTAAATTGGATTACTGTGGTTTAATACTACTCGTTCTTTCCATGAAAACAGAATATTATTAATAGTTTATAGACTTATATAGTTATATTTCATAATATAAGATATTTTGTTATACATTATTTATTTTTGTTAATGTTGCTTAATAATAAATTAATATGGCCTAAAAAATGTTCGTAGTATAAAATTAATGTTGATGTAAAATTTACTATCCACATATCCGTGTTCTATAGACATCAGGTTCTGGGTTAAGTTAGGCATAATATTTAAAATAAAACACTTACAAAACTGTATTTTTAAACTGATTTATGTATAATTAATAATTTCATTTAGGCTTCAACAATTGACGGTCGACGAAAAGGAGCATGTCTATTTTGCCAAGAATATTTTATGGATCTATATCTACTTGCCGAGCTAAAAACCATCAGTCTTAAAGTCACTACAGTCGACATGCAAAAACCTCCTCCCGATTTCAGGTAATTTTATTTATTTGGTATGTAGTGTGAAACTGCGAACAAAAAAAAACTTTTGTATGATGTAAAGTTTTGATTTATGAATTACAATTATTACCTTTAATTAGATAACTAAAGTTTATACAACTGTACCGTGTCGTGATCAAATATATATAATACACATCACTAATCGCATAGTGCTCTTGGTTATTCTGTATTCACTACTAAAATAAAAAGTAATATTATGTTTTTGAAATGAAATAGACGAATAGCCGATATTGACAACTATATTCAATTCATATGTTGTACAGTTTAGAATTGTAAGGTAAAAAAAATTTCTGTGGACTATTAATTTTAAGTTGTTGTTTTTTTTTTATTATTAAAGAAAATTCCTCTATAACGTGACCATTGGCTAGTTTTACATAATATGGTCTTAAATAATTTAAATTAAATTGTAAAATTCAATGTATCCCACAAATAAAATTATATTTTTAATGGATTCATCGTAGGGGCCCAGTGCGTTGTGAAGGTGTTCAAGGGATATTGTGTTTTTATCAAGCCTCTTTATTTCGTGTCTCAATATTCAAAATTCTTGTTTGTACAAGTACAATGTACATATTATTAACAAATTTGATTCGCGGTTTTTCAATGATTTATGTATTTTTATTGTCTGTCACGTTTTGAAACAGATTCTTAATGTTCTTCAAAAATTAAATCAAAAGCACACCTAATTTCCCGGGTTTAAATTAATATTTCAAGAATTATAAAATGATAAACAAAACCTATAAATTGTTTTAAATAAAGTCTGCATGATAACAAATATATAATATGTTTGGGTTAATGTATGTTTTTGTAATGCTTAACCAAAAAGTACTCTAAATGGTGTTTGGAACATATTATTATTTGTTTGGTATTTTTAATTTTTATATAATTCTATTAAAATGTACACAATTATTATTTTCAATACATTAAAAAATAGTTGTATTTAATGTGCTTATTAATGTATAATGTATATGTTTATTAAATAATATTTATTCTATGGGTTATTGGTACTATATATTATACCCAGTACACGTATACGTACTACCTTGCAATAAATAATAAAATATTATTATAATCTGATTTGAAAAAAATAGCAAATATCTTATTCAATTAAATTATCATTTAAAAATATTTCAGTGAAGTTTTACTGAAATTAAACGCCCTCCTCCTATTATGCTAATAGGTAGGTACCTGTAGTTTCCATGAAAAAATAGGTATATAAAAATACTATAGGTGACTGTAGAAACTATTTGATCGCCCATTTTATTGGTTTTTTTATTTAAAAAGTGATATTTTGTAACTTTTTAGGAGTAACTTTGATGCAAATCCTCCGCCGATTTTAATAGACAATGGAATGGCTGTCTTAGAAAATGAAAAAATCGAAAGACATATCATGAAGAACGTGCCAGGCGGATACAATCTATTTGTACAGGATAAAGAAGTGGCCACGCTGATTGAAAACTTGTACAGTGTACGTTAAACTAGATGATCATAACCATAAGTCATTAAATATCTTGGTACATAAACATACCTAGCGTAATTCCTAAACATCAACCAATTCACTTTCCATTTGTGTCATTTGTTTTACACCGGAAGCTTAGAAATGACTCGTATGATAAGAAAAAAGTAGTTCATCTGGTTTCTATTTCTCCTTCTCGTACTTCGTGTATTGCTTAACTGCAATTCCACAAGGATAATAAGGATCGTAAATCTATAAAAACTATTTAACATATAAGAGGCATCGCATCTCCTATCCTTGGATGATACACAATACCTGTTCCCATATAATGTATAGGGTATGTACCATGTATATGTATTGTCATATAACTGATAGTATAATTTTATATTGTATGTTTATGTTCCATAAAGTTGAAATAATATATTCATACATATTTATGTTTATTAACGTTATAAGAAAAAATCTTAAGTATACACGTTTTAGATTTTTAATACGAGATCACGATTATTATGTATAAATTATAAAGTGATAAAATCGTTATGGCCAGAACAGAATTTGCAGATTATTTTCATTTTAGACTAATATTCTAGTTTTGGAATTTAAAATAAATTTTGGTATTGGTCTATACGCTTTATATTTTAAATATGATAATCAGCGTGTAAATTGTTAGAATAATAAAAGCCATGCAAAAAATTGAATTTTGAATAAAATAATTGGAGTTATTAAAAAGATATAAAATAAAAAGATTATAAAAGATTGTTTTTTGTAGTATAAATTCCTATTACAAACGACACCATGTGAATTCATTGTATCGATATGCGAAGGTTATATCCGCTATATAGCAATTATATTTGCTAAATATCGGGGGTAGCCCTTTAGTTAGAATACTTTACAAGGAAAATAAACTCTGTCACTTGCCTGTACATGACATGTGCAAGTGTTTTCCTTGTACGGAAAGCAGTCAACGTGTATTATATATATACATAATATGTTACTCAGTAAATTTTACTGTCAATAAAGTTCTTATCACTCACTCACTATGCGTCTATCATCGGCTTATGGATGTAGAAATACTATTTCCCCACAACCTGTTGTGAAGATTGTTAAACGCTGTTTGAACAATGCGTCAATTATCTAGAATGCCTGTATAGTGTACAACTTTGTTAAACTACAGCCCTCGATTTGTTTCGAAACGACATTCATTTTATATTATGCATTCGTTCATTCCGGCACACGAACCTACGTACTGTGCATACGCATATATATAGTATGTGTGTATTAGATAGATAGAGAGAGAGAGAGCTATGATGTTTAAAAAATGACTTTCGACCTAAATAGTAAATATCTTTGTTATTTCAACTTGTTCAAATATACTTCTCCCCTTTATGGGCCTCAATTTTACAATTACATTTTTGAACTCAATTCTCAATTTTATTGGTATGATTTTTTTTTTGTGCAGCATATTATATCAATCTTTCCCTGCCTCTGATAGATTATTAGACATTATTTTAAATGTAAATCATATTATTATTACTACTTAGTAACTCAGTACTTGTTTCATCAAGAAAAAATAATCTTTTGTTCGCATATTAAAGACTGCAACATTGTAGTTACGATTTGACGCAATTTATATGTTCACTAATCCTGTCATTTTTTTGATGGTGGGCAGAAAATATACGTAAAAAATATGCCACACACAAAAAAAAAACAAAAGTTCATCAATTATTGGCCTAATTATAAATTTGTTGTCATTCAGATATTTCAAGTTTAATATTATCCTGTAGCTATAATAATACGAATTTCGTTTCACTACCTAAATATTTTTTTTCTCATACAACTGGCATGGTATTTTTCTGAGTATTTAAATTATTATTTTAATAACAATAATATATGATGGGCATATTTGTCATAATATAAAGGAAATATGATATTCGACAACTATCGCGTTTCCTAATATTGCAAAAATGCAAACTATAGTATAATTGTATAAGTACATAACTGAAAATTTGAATTTGATACATATTAAATATTAAAAGTTAAAACAAATAATACTAATAATTTTCATTGTGTTGATTTCCTGCGTAAATCAATGTAAAAAATGTGTGTAGGTATATAAAATTATAGAATTTCTATTGTACACAGATTCGTTTATAATAATGAAACAACAATTATAAATTGTTTACTATTAATTATTACAATATTATATCCGCTTATAGGTACGTGAATTCATTGAAATTTAGATATTTTTTTGTTTTAATAAGTAATTATGTTGCATTAATGCAGGTCTATTCTATATTTCTATGTGGGCATACCGAAAATGTGGGTTCTTGTCAAGCGAGTTTAATTTATAACTTTATAAGTATTAAATTCAATAACCAAATAGTTTTCATCATTGTATACTAGATAAATATAAAACCCATTGCTGTGACTTTTTGCAAAAATAAAGTATATGAGTAAAAAAGTACTACACATTTAAATTTGTATTGGTGGCCAGTGGGATAAGATGTTTGCATATAACATAAAACAACTCTTATAAACAAAAATACAATTATAATATTATATTAATATATTTACATATACAACTAAAAATATAATTTAATTCTGATGTCAGTATTAATTTCAGTTATATATACTAAAGATTTTCAAACATTTGTGATAGCAAAAATAAAATAAAAATATTATAGTATATTTTCTACAACAAAAACGAAACAAAAACTCCCCGATATTTTTTGTGAACCTTTTTTCCCCACTATATGGAAATGTTGACTCTATAATATAATTAGTGTTCTTCATTTTATTGCCCCTTCGCCTTTGTCTGCGGATGCCTATTACAATTTGTTATTTTATGTGATTGGATTATTGGAATTTGATCGATTTTTAGATATTATTTTTTAATAATATTTTTAATAACAATTTCGCACAGTGGTATCGAGTAATTCTATAATATAGCTATTGTGATTTACAGAAGCTGAAGCTGATGTTATTAAAAAAAGACGATGTAAGCATAAATAGCCTGTTGTCTCACTTGCGTAAGATAAATTTGCATTTAGAAAAGAAGAACACACGGTTTTTGACCGGTGACACAATGTGTTGTTTCGACTGCGAGTTGATGCCCCGTCTACAACACATCAGAGTAGCTGGTAAGTGGTAACTATACCATCGTCGTATCTATATACGGCAATATAATATGTTTGTGCAGCGCCAGTGCGTATTAAAGAGTCGACAATCAGCTCCTATTATTGTTTAAAATATTTACTATAACTCAATAATGTATACCAGTAAATATACATTTGGGTAAAATGTGTGTATCACATTTGTATCTATATTGTATAATAATGAATGTGAATTATAAAAATATACAATTCCGATTTATAGGTGTATACGTTTAACGAAACTAGGGCTGGGATTTGTATATTTTATATATTTGCATTTTTTTTTTTCGTAGTTTTATCGTATGGTATTGTATGCTAAGTAAGTACCTACGTACTAATGCTAATATACGTAGCATACCGTAGTTCATACAAATTTCGAAATATTTTTGCATATTTTGACACTGTATTTTTATTGTTTTGTAATTGCTATAATATACAATATGCTTTTTGTTAAATATTGTTCGACATATTTCGAAATAATAATCAACAATTCATGTATTGTTTTAGTAACATAAATATTATTTTATATTTTTATTCGTACGTATTAATATTAATTCGATTGTCATTCACATAGCTGAAAACAAAAACTCCTAATAATCTAATCTGACTCTTGAAAACTACGTTTTTGTGTTATTGATATTTTACCTCATTTTTTATGCGATTCCTAATTTTGTGTTTTATTTTTTGGAATATATTAAGCGGCCAAGCCCTATCTATATAGTCATTATAATATCTGTTCTGCAGTAAAGAATTTCATAAACAAAAAATAGGAGCTGATTGAGACATAAATCGCGTCTACCAAACGGACAATTTTAAATAATTAAATAAATCGATGCCATTAATTCAAGATTATCGCACATTTATCCGTTTTCTGCGCAGGTAAATACTTTATGGACTTTCAAATGCCGACTGACCTGAGGTACCTGTGGCGTTACATGTTGCACATGTACCAGCTAGACGCGTTCACCCAAAGCTGTCCAGCCGACCAAGACATCGTCAACCATTACAAACAACAGCAGGTCTGTAATAACGTGCGACCTGCAGGCCGACATCCTAGTCCTTCAACACTGTTTTTATTTTTTTTATTAAGAATAAATGCTTCAAAAACCGAATCATTAGCCTATTTTTACATTTTAATACTCAATTACCTATATATATTTATAACATACATTATACATTTTTTACAGTTAATTGCATCACAGGTATATATTAATATTATATTTTGGTATCATAAGACACTTTTTAATATCTATCGTGGTGGTTGAACAAGGGGATGTGACCCCATGATCTTTTTCAATGTTTAATATCTAATAAAGCGATAACCATACTTATGTTTTTTAATGATTAAATTGGGCATGTTTAAAAATCAGCTATTCCCCCCGCACCCATGACAAAATAATTTGACCACCGCTCTTCATAATATAACAATTAACCTAATAATATAAGATATTCAGTAAAAAATAAAATGTGGTTCCAGTGGCGTAAGTAGGGTTTTTTAAAGGGGTGGGGGGCTTGAAAATGAATTACAATTTTATTTTTATTTTGTTCAGTCTAATAATTTCAGACGTTTAGGTAAGGTATTTGAAATTATTTGTTCAACTTTCTCAACTTTTACAGTAGTAAAAGTCGATAACATCTTTTATAGCTAAGGCATGAAAATTTCATACAAGTAGTTCATACTTTTACACTACTGATCATTTTAGAAAAATTGGTATGCTAATACAATATGCTCTATTAAAAATTCAAACCAGGTATATATTATTATTCATTGGCTATAGCTAATCCTGTAAGACGTACCTTTATTAATTTACGTCCCAACTTGCTAGTCGTCCTTGCTTACTAGTTGACGGCTTTTGAAACTAGATAACTTTTTTTTTTAATTAATAATAATACAGCAATAGAGGGGGGGGCATTCCATTAGCTTCCCTGCGTACGCCACTGTGTTGTTCGTATATATTATAAGAAGTATGGTACTAGATAATTTTCCTCTGCAAAAAAAATTGAAGAATCATAAATATAACAAGATATTATGTATTGCGGTAGAATCATATTATCTATAGTAGCATACTACCTACATTTTGTCAGGAATTTTATTTTATAACATTTTTTTGGTTTTTTTTTATTTGCGTGTCTTTGGCAATTAATGAACAAAGCGTTACGAAAATCGGCCTGGCGTGTATCCGGTTAAATAAAAGTTGTAACCAGCCCAAAATCATACATATGGGTAAAAAATTACTTCTTCAAAAAGTCAAAAACCTATAGAACTACATCATCCGTTATAACTTCCGAACTTCAAAGCATTCCGAACCAAATAGGTTTCAAGATTATAAAAGTTGAAGAGATTGTTCAATATAACTAGTTTCAACCGGCTTAAAAATATTTCATTTTTTAATTGTCTAAGAAATTTCGCTATCATATCTTTGTAAGTTGTAGTACCTATCTACTAAACACGCACGACGCACATCTATAAATAATAATATTAATATCATCAAATCTGGCCGAGCGTGTGTACTTGACCCGTATGATATTATACCTACTATGCAAAATAATAATAATAACGATCACCACGAGCAACGATGAAATAATGTGTAAAAATGTAAAACATATACATAAAGTGTTATAATATCATTTAATTAGACGTGCATAAAAGTATATTATTTTCATGCCGGCTCGGAGGACTGGGACTACGCTTATACCGGTCGCCCCCGCCATAACCGCCGCTCGTTCAAATTATTCGATTTTTGATAGAATCTCATGTTACAGAACGTCAAGATGAAGAAACACGAGGAACTGGAGACGCCAACGTTCACCACGTCCATACCGGTGGAGCTCGACTTGCAACAAGACGAATAGAGATGGCTGTGGCCTGTGGGTATGGTAGCTACGTAGTACATACGTGCGATAATACCATCGCCTTAAACAATCTATGTACTGATATGTATGTATATATACTCAGTGATGTAACACGACGATTCTCCGTCCTCTCGTCATCCGCAGCTGCAGTACACAGCATAATATTTTACGAGTAAATACATATTATTATTATTATTATTATTATTACTACTATAGAATGTCACGATGACATCACCGTGCAGTATAGACAACATCTTTTCCACACGTAATATTATACTGTGTGTGCAACGTGCGGTATGTACAGAGTGAACTGCAGCTAAAGTACACCTATATATTATAATAATATTATTATCAGTACCTAGGTACACATTATATTATATCCGCGATTTATTTCTTCTTTCGGTTTTAATTTTTTTTTTTTTTGTTTTCTTATATTCTCTAATCTATATTCAATATTACTATAACATATATACATATACACACGCCCTCGTGTACTCCTCTTGTTAATTTATTTGTAATGATATATATCCATATATATTTTGTATTATGTATTGTACTATTTTTATTAATATTATACAACTTAACCGAGTTATTATATTATGTATCATTGTACTAACTAACTATTTATAATATAATATATCATAATATACGTACATATAAACATATAATATTTTTTTTGTCGCGCCTATGTGTACATAATAATATTATGTACATTTATTTTGTATTGAAGTATATATTATATTATGTAAAAAATTATGTTTGTCTATAGTGCCTTGAGATTATTCTAGTTATAATATTTAATATTCAAAGTTGTATTTAGTATTATTTTTCGACCTACTGTAATAAACTTAATATTTATTTAAACCGGCCGTATATTTGATATTATTTCGCCCCACGACTGTTTTACAGACGACAGCTGGTGTTACGGCGATATTGTATGGCATTCTCGTGCAATGAAACCACTTGTGCCTACAGTAGCGCGACGAAAACTATAACACGCAGGTAAAACGATTAAATGAGAAGAAGATAATGTAAAAAAATCATATATTACTGGTCTGCTATAAAAAGCCGCAGAAAGACCTGTGGGGTCTTCATCTTTCCGGTCTCTACAGGATTATAATTTATAGGTTTCATAAATTTCATATTTTAGCTTTTATTACCCAAATAGCTATAGTATGCCTTGTTCGGAAAACGCTCGTATACCAGAAAATTGGAACTCAGTTTATTTCTATAACTTTGGTGTTTCGAAACTTAGAACGTATAGTGCGGTCTGCCGGTCAGTGTTTTTTTTGCACGGTCAGTAGGACTATTTGTTTGATATCATAATATACCTAATGTGATTGCTTGTGTAGGACGTAGGTCGTAACATTTAAACTATTATACTTATTTGATTGTATATAAGAGTATACATTGTATTTTCTCAGGAAAATAATTGCTTGAGGAAATCATCGAGATTTGCGTCATTTGCCTTTCAGATCTATTGCCCCCCACGGGCCACGACTGTACGTCTTACACCACCGGCATCTAGGATACCCTTATTGCTAACTGAGGCGATCACTTTCCACTCTTTTCATAATTTATATTTGTCAAATTATCGAAGTACCCCCCTCCCAAATGTTAATATTGAATTTAAAGTTTCTGCTCGCTCGCCTTACCAAAGTATAATCCATCTATCTATGTTCTTCTTTCGACTCCCTCACAAACACTCTTATCTCTCAACATTTTCTACTGAAGTCGGCTTAAAGATACGAATGTATTAAAATCTCAAAATTACAACATTTGACTTAATCACATTTGATGTTCGAGCACAGAAATTGTTTAAAAGCATTTTATCATTTAGATGTATGTAATAAGTACACATACGCCTATTATAACTGGCTACGGAGTAAGTACTTGAGGTTTCGACCATTTTAATCACTCAATAATACGCGGTTGAGTGGAGAAGATTAACTAATATTAAACCTGTAACATTTTACAAATCATAAAGGTAATAGTACCAATGTCAATGAGGCAAATATGAATAAGTTAGTTTTTAAAATAATGAAATGAGCTACTTTAGTTAAGTACACGTTAAGGGCGTTAAGCTATATGTTAATAGGCTACACCTAAAAAACAATTTATTGAACCCTAAAAGTTGATAGTCAAAATGAAGAAAAATTAACTTCAAATGTCTAAAACAAAATAATGTATCTATATTCTATTTAGTATACAGATGAAGGTGAAAGTATAATACGAAATAAAAGAAAAGAACAACATCAACTATGAAGAACCATGTACTACATACATTGCATAGCTTTTAAGTTTTAAGCAATGCATATTCAATATCCACCTACAAAATAATTTACAGCTTTTGGTAATTTTGACAAATCTAGAAAAAGCTAGAACATTAGTTTTAAAAAATAGAAATCGTGCCCATGTATTTTCTTAATTTTAAAATTTCTAGAAGAAAAAAGTATGAAAAATCTTGTTTTCATTCTCAAAATTAATTTTCATTTTGAAATGGTGACCATGAAAGCATCTGTAAATATTACATCTTCACAACAATATGTTGTTTTAGAATACTAGGTTTAATAATTATCATATGATACATTATTATAAAAATAAGAGTTAAAGCTAACATTATCAAAATTACCATGGCCTCTAATTAATTGCCGGACTGCAGTGAAACACACCTTTAGTTGCACACGTTTATCAATGCAACATCAGCAAATAACAAAATAATTTAATCATCGATAAAAACATTGGCTTTATTTGGATTACAAATAAATAATAACGTATAATGCACATGTTAAAATAATATTATGGATAAAACATATTAAAATAAATACATTATATTAACAAAATACATGTTAAGAACATTACAATTGTTTACCGTCTACTTGTATATCATATAATATGTATGTATTCGAAATATATACATTAATATTAAGCACATTTATATATGTATTTAACAGTAAGCTTTGGGTTACATAATGTACAGAAATATATTGTTCTCTTGCATTCTTTGTATATATATACATATACACACACAACACACACACATAAATTACGTTTACACATTTAAACTCATTACAAAAATATAAATAAATAAGAGGAATAAATAAAATAAACAATATTATATATTACTATTAAAGATTATGTTATGCGTACTACCTAATTTTAATGTAACTATAACATATTGATGTAATAATAAGCACTTTGAACACACGAGCTTGTTGAAGGATAACAAACACGAAAAGTCCATTGCGCATTGTATAAATAATGTTAAGTAATATTATTTCCTGTTAAAAACTAAAACATTGATCGAACTGGATAGACTTGCTCTACAGATAGTTGACATAAATTATTAATTGTTAACAAATCATTATTCAGCTCATTTCAAAATTAGTTTTCAGCTACATGTACATAAATTGTAAACTAGTTTTATTTTTGAAAATTAAACATTAAATGAATATTGACGTGGAATATATTAGAAAAAGGAACTTTAATAGATTTACTAGGTAAGTCAACACCGTTATTGAATTGTGTGAGGTCTATTTATTTATTGGACATAACATTATTGAATTAGATTGTACAATTTAAGTATCAAACGGTGTAAAAAGTTCTATGTACAAACAGAAAACGATTAAAATCATTTTTTAGTCAATTTGAAAAACTAATTGAGCGAAATTGAGCACTTTCTCTTAATAACCAATGATCATAAAAACAAACTTGTTTTAATGTTATCTAACAACAAAGCAATATATAAAAGTAGATATGGTTAATTAATAATAATACATGGAAATTATGGAACTTTGATAATGGATATTGCACACAAAAAAAAATGCAAGCCACTGTGGCTGCACAGTTTGAAAACACTTTATTCTTGATCAACATTACAGTGTATTATATTTAACGTACTAAGTTATTTATTAAGCAGTTGGATAATTGATATATTTAATACACGTTAAAGTTTGGAAATTGAATTCACAAATGAAATATAATGCAAAACATTAAGAGTATTAAATTAGTTGTTTATAACAATATTCTATCAAATAGTGCATTTTTAATCTTCAAATATAATATGCTAATTATATTATTATTATTAATTAATATTATCATATACACAGCAATTCTATAAGATCATTAATCATCATTTTATCTAATGAAATATAAATAAATATTAAATATACTCTATTGTGTATAATTATAAAATTGGTATTATTTGGCACTAAAATGTGTACGTTGTTTGGAAAATATAGGAATACGAGTTGCAAATTTATTAATTTATTATTCAAATGCATTATCTTTTGGAATTGATATTGATAACTTTGTGACTGTTGTAAAATATTATATACATTATACAATGCAATATTTCTATGAAAAACTCCAAAGTTTAATATTCAATAATATTTTAATATATATGTATACATAATTACATTGAAAGAAAGATTAAGAAATAATTTATTTAGTCAACTCTTTATACTATTCATATAGACTATAATTCATCATCAGATATACATTGCGCAGTAAACAAAATTGTTGGATACAGCCTAACAAAGTATTTTAATTTATCTTAAAAGCACACTCAAAGAAAATAAAAATGACCTAATGAAACTTTCAACATTTTGGTAGATAATGACAAGGAATGTTAGTTAAAATTACTGATTAGTATTATTTTAAATTATTCACTAAGCACAAGTCTCTTCAGCCCAACCGTCGCTGTCATATTCACTGCCCGATGCAGAATCAGAATCAGAAATTTCAACAGCAACACGACGTGCCAATATCGAAGCAACATCATGCAATGCATTGCTACGTTCTCCTTCTTTTTGCTTTATTTTTTCTACTTTTCTCAACTCAACACCTTAACACAAATAAAACATTTTTTTTTTAAATTAATAAAACATATTTTAATCATTCATTGATATAATACAATGTGTATATAAATCAATATTAATATCTTACCATCTCTAATAGCCTTTAGCAAATCACTACGTGGATCATAATGAGCAACATGGCCTGGCCCAGGTGTTTTTTTCAAGCTTACCGTGCCGCTACTGATATTGGTTACAGTGGTTTTTAAATCATTAATGATACCATTTAGCGGTCTCACATTGTTACAGTCGGCAGGAAGCACCAATGGTTTCGATTGAATTATAATATTAGATGGAGACTTCTACATAAATTATAGAATCAATTATCCGCATATACAACTATTAAACAATATTTAAGTACTTACTTGTTTTGGTGGTGATTTTACATCTCCATTGGCTAATGATGCTGGAAGATCAGGCATTGGTGGTAATGGCGGAGGAGGTGGAATGTTTGCTGATGGTAATGGAGGACTAACAGATACAGGGGGTGGTGGTGGTGGTAAAGGTTCAGTAAAAGGTAAGTTGTTCTCAATTGGAGGAGGTGGCGGAGGAGGTAATGTTTCACGATTGGAACTCAAACTGCGACCACGAGTTGGAGTGCTGGCTGATGATACAGTGGGTGTACTAAATAGAAAAATAAATGTTGCTTTAATACTGGTAGAAATTATAATTTTAAATTGTGATCAGTCCAAACTGTATCTCACTTACCTGTTATTTGAATTATTATTGCTTGGGGGAGCAGGGGGTGGTTGAGTTGGTCTAATTCTACCTCCCCGTCTAGGTGTACCCAATGGACTAATTACTTCACCCATACTGCCTGTGTACTGGTAATTATTTTGTTGCGTTTGATGATTGTATAAATTAGATTCATCATACATCATATTATTGCTACTGAGTGGTGCAGCATAGTTATTGCTAAGACATAAAAAAAACTCAATGAAAACTATTTATAACAGTATATTAGCATATATATTTTAAAAATATTTAAATTACCTATCAATTATATTCATAGGGGGAGGACTATAAATACGTCCATCTACCATGTTATTTCCAGTATGGTGATTATGAAGTTGCTCTGGACCATAGGATCGACGTAATTCTATACTATTTGGTCGTGATGGTCGGTGCTGATCATTCATTGACAAGCCTAACATCATTGTACTTTCTTCCATATACTCATAAGGCTAAGTAAAATATAAGCAATTAAATATTATAAACTAGATAGGATTGTATAATATGTTAAGATTTTATAGATAATATTGATAAGCAATATACCAAAAGTATATTTTTTAATATAGACATCAGACATTAAAAACAATAAAATGTACACTTTTTAATTATTTTAAGCTATAAAATGTATACCTGATGAGGTGCTCTATATTGAGAGTTATCTTGAGGCATAATATATTCTCCGTGCTGAGTAGCAAGTTGTCTTTGTCGTTCTCTCGTACTATATGGTTGTCGGACTCTTTTTTTATGACGACCACCACTTCCTTCTGCTTTAGGCCTATGAGGCTAATGAATTGGAAAAATCGAAGTTGATTAATTTAATTTATAATGTAATACATTAGTAAGAAACCTAAATTTAAGTATATACTTTTTTTCCACGATCATGCATCATTTTTTCTGTGTCTTTCAACATTTCTAACCGCCATAGATTGAAAAAGTAATCTGGATCTGTATAGAATTTCATACCATCCTTCCCATCCTCTCTGTATATATAAAAAAAAACACAAATATACTTTTCCTGTTCAATATTAATTAAGATCAATTAATTAATTTTTTTCTTATTAAATACCGGTAAGGATTAAGTTTATAAAGAGGAGGTGGCTTATCACATTGAGAATACATTTCAAGCATTGGTGCAGGCATTGTATCCCTTGAAAGAACTTGTTGATCAAATACAATAGCACTTTTAAAAGCTTTTCTCATATGAATGTCTTGTAAAGATACTAAAACAACAATACATATTATTTAAATAAATGATAATAATATGATATATTAGATGCAATAATGAATTTAAATTAAATAAAGTAGATGTAAATTACCTTCTTCGCCAGTACTATCTAATTGTTTTGTGTTGACAGATAATCTGTCTAACCTAATTTGTAATGAGTTAACTCGTACAGTAAGTGAATGGGCTTCACGTACAAGTTCACCAAACATATCTTCAGCTTGTTTAGATAGACTTGATAACTGACGGACTGTATTAGCAAGTGTGCCATTTGTGACAGCTTCCAACTCATTAGATATTGAACTTGAAGCACCATAACTTCCTGCTTGTGAGACTGTGTTACGTGCTACATGCACGGGTTCTACAACACGCTTTGGCAATGGCATAGTTTATGTATGCTAAAAAATAAAGACAATGAAATTATGAAAATGTCAATTAGTTTTACAGTTTAATATATAAAAAAGGGAGATTTTGATTAAAAGTATGAAATGTATCAAGGAGTTAATAGGAACAAAGTATGTGGATTATTTCTCAATATAAAAAAATGTTTAAAATACTTATTTCTTATTTATGTAATAATGAATATGAATATACATATATATATATAAATTATGTTTATTGCCAAATACATATAAATGTTAATGCTATTAGTACATTTATCCCTAATAAAATAATGGTGGATTCACACAATTTAACTACCAAGTTGCCTCAAGTAAAAGTTATAGTTCCTAACTATAAATACTATAGGTATAATAATTAATTATAATAAATTGTTTAAAATTTCCTGTTTTTCAACTATAAAATAAATATATCAAAATGAATTAAGTATAAAGTAAATATTATGGGTATATTTTATTATGTTGGATTGAACTTCTGCTATCTTCTTGCTAAAAATTTATAATTTCATGCTCCCCATGTTTTTAATCAATTACAATTAGATAGATACTATATAGTTGCTTGTTATTATGACATCGCCCAACTAGAGATGAGGGTCAATTTAAACATTAATTTGTTTCATTGATACAGATAGGATAGGGGGCACGTTGAAATACATTTATTACATTTAAAATTCATATAAATTACATTTTAAAATACATATAATTCAATACTCTATTTACTGTTTCCTACCTTATTATTATATTCATAATAAAGATGGATAAATGTAGTTATTTATATATAATATTGACAATTAATAAGCTATATTAGAATTTAAATTTCCAAATTGTATTGATTAATAATTAATTTAAATAAATGTGGATTATCATAAATATTTCCATAAGACTTGAAGAAAATTCTCTAAGCATCTCTATATTACTCCCACTAACTTACAAAATAAAAATAGTGTAACACTGATATGTACATGTAAGACATGCGTAGAATTTCAACAAAATATACTAACTACACAATAGACATGAGTTTAATCTATGTACATTATAATATATCAATATAAGATAAATTAATTTAATTTTAAGAATGGGTATTTTTTTAGTTGTACATATTTCTAGTTGTAACATTTTTTTATAATGATAAATATTGGCAAATCTACCAACCTAAAAAAAATTGTGAAGATAAAAGGTAGTAACTTATTGATATTGATTTTAATATTTTATTATTAATGTATATAGATACATATAAATGTATACTTGGTCTATAAATCTACCTTGTGAAGTATTGGGTACTATAGTGTAGACTTGTTATCATTAAAATTAAACTATAATTAGATTTGATTTTTAAAGTCAATAAATATATAGGTAGTTTATTATTTTTAATACTTATCAGTTTTATAAGCCTGTTTAATAGTGTTATCTCATTACAGCAATAAAAAATATCTTAAAATGTGGAAATAACTAAGTATACCTAATGCATGCTTGTATTGTTATTTTAATTATTAACACAATAACACTGAACAGAAAACTCTCAACATAACCTTTATATAATACACACACAGAAGAACAAAAAATAAAGAAAACGACATTTAATTAAATAATATCTGCTTAATGTGGGAGGGGCAATTAGATTTTTAAGGAGTTCTTGACTACAAATTAAAAATCAATCATCTTAACATTTCAAAATATTAATAGTCAATTAAATCATTATAAGTGCCTACCTATACCATTATTAAACTAACTTTAATATTCATAATGCCTAAACTAAACAGATACTATTCATTAAAAAGCTTGATTTATACCAACAATTATTTATTATGAATTATAGTAATTATTGTTCATAGTAAATACATTTTTATTAGCAATTTAGTAAAAAACATAGAGCTACCGAGAAACTAACTACCAAGAAACGACCTTATTCAATAATGTAACATTGTAACCTATACAAACGATAAGCCTAAAAAAATTTCATCCATATAAATTTATATTAAAAAATGATGATTAATTGCTGATAATACTTTAACAATATTTATCGCAATAATGTGTGAAAGTAATGTACCTATTACCCGTTTGCATTATCATTTACTTAACCACGCAAAAACTGGAAAAATTATTTAATTTTCCAAATAATTTAAACCTAATTTTTCACATAACAACCACTGTCTATTAGATACAAAAGAAAAATAATTATGAGAATCATTTTGTTGATAAAAAGTAAAAAATAGATTAATTCTATTTAGTATTTAGTCATAATCCATATCAGCTACCTACATATTTTTACTGATAAGCATGACACACAGTATCTAAATACCTACTTAATGTTAAAAATTAAAATGAGATCATACATCTATAGCCAACATTTCTGAGTTATTGTCAAATAATGCACATAAATATAGGTTGTAAAAAAATTAAATCATAAGTTAAATATAACCAATAAAACTGAAATTGCTATCAATCAGAAATGTTTATAACGGGCGTTTCCCGTAGTATAAATACAAAAGTTGTGCTACAAAGACCTCTAAATGACAGCAAATGTTGTAAGTTTGAGTAATAACAAATTTTTGGAAACATCAATGTCACAGTCGATGACATTAGATTATTGTTAACAAAAGATTGACAAAATATACAAACATCTAGTTCAAAGATTCTAACATAGGTAGCTAGATCAGATACCTAGTCTAACAGCTCGACAATGCAGTATAGAAACAGATGACAAACTAATTAAATTGGACACCTAAATACCCCAACAGAACAGTAAATAGTGTCAGGCCTGTGTACATGACATGTTTATAACGCAACCTTCGAATAGCGTATGATTATGTTGCAGAAGACTTAGACAGTAACGCAACTATCATCGATCAGATACAACGGACAGAACATAATTTATAAAATACCTATATAAAAATATATTCCAAATTGTACGTTCCATTTCGATCATACTGCCACTGAAAATACAGTAGGCAATGAGGAACAAAACTAATAATAATATATTTAGACAAACAATGTCAAGTGCTCAGTGCGACTTGTTGTCGGTGGCACGTCCACTCACCTCGGTGGTCATTTAGCAGCGATCTGGCCGATCCGATTCGGGTGACGCCAATTGTTCGGGGCACAGAAGTCCGTCACCGCGGGTATATGGCCATGTCATGTCGACGGGTCAGACGCATCAGACGTCGACAGCACGGTACGAACGAGAACGAAACAGGCGGCGAAATTCGTGGCGCGCGATAGATAAACAACACGGTGGCTCAAGGACTGGCGTGTCGAGGCGGAGAAAACGTTCGATAGTCGATACCATCGATTATCAGTCGCGCTGGTGTTGTCCGCGAGCGACGGGATCGTAGTACCAACAAATGGCGTACGGTATAAAATTTATTATATCGCCGCCCTACCCGCGGTCCATGGAAGAAAAAATACGCTTCAACATATTCGGATAATATAATCATGGACCACTGTCCAGTGTCCACGACTGACCACGAATTAAGATATATTTATACATATTATAGTTTTAGACATACCTAAATTCGTGAATATTAGATACCTTTCAATCTTTCATGATTTATGAAGACAAAAGACTGGAATAGGAACCCGTGAATCGTGATTGGTATTATTCGTACTTCATTATTATTTATCACTTTTCAGTTATAACTTATAACTTAAAAAGACCATACAGATATTATTGCTTAAAGCGTATAACTCTTAGATCATATACTATGTATAACACAATATATTGTCTCACTCCCTCCCTGAAAAATTATCCCAAATACGCCATTGCGGCTACCATAAAAACTTGAAAATAATTATATTTTGGAAAATTCGAGTAATTCTAAATACAGAAATTTTAAATTTTAATTTGATAAGGCAATCAAATTTAGACCATCGTACTCACCGTTTTAAATTAAACTTATTCCCATAACATAATATAAAAATATAAATATTTATATTTATGAAAATATTCAATACAATTGCCACTGGGCACTGTTGATATGAAACGAGTTAAAAGTTAAAATATTTTTTTAGAATTATTTATATGGTACAGTGATTTCTGAAAAAAAATCAATTATTTTGGGATATAAGAAACTACAACTTTTCAAACCGCTTTAAATTCAATACTTTAAAAGTAAAATATGCATTCAAAAAAAATAATTTTAAATTAATGACTCAAAACGTTGAAAAAACATATGTTTCAGATTATTAAATTTAAATCATAGATCACGGTACTACTATATGGTAACCCATGTAAAAATAAAAAGATTATATAATATAATGGAATATATTATTTACCCATAATGAACTTTCCAAATAGAAAATTCTATGCATATTAATGCACTTTTTCAAAAATTCCAACTAGTTTCTGTCAATTTTATCAAATACAAATAACAAGTAGTATATAGGTACTAATATTTCACATTTTTATTACGTAAGTACCTAATTTTATTGTCCTAATTGGGTAAACAGTGCCATAGGTATATTCAAATTTTAGTGGAGGGGAGACTCCAAATTTGTTTAGAAAAAATAAATAGGTAAATATATAAATATAAATTGTTGTTAATTGTTTTATTATTACTTTATAAATTATTCTTTATTAATTATTAGTAGCCATTAGGTAATGCATTGTATTATTTATTTAATTTATGAGCCAAGAGCTCAATTATTATACATAATACATTAATTACATTAATTGGGTGTAATATAAAATGTTTGTTACTTACCCATAACTTATCATAGTAGGTACATTAGTACCATTATCGTACCAATACAAACATGAAACATTATTCATATAAGTGTTATTGTTTTATTTCATTAATTGATTAATTATATTACCAAATAAGAAAACAATAATGTTATATTAGATACGTATGTACACCTGCATGCTTATGATGAACACTTCAAGAAGACTAAATAAATGTTAATTTAATGAAACTCGGCCAAATTAGAACAATTAATTAAGATTTTAAATTCTAGTTTATAATATGTCACCCAGAAAAATACAAATCGTATGCTTTAATCCAACTCGATTGAAACGCTGATTTTTTTATGACAATCTGTAATTATTATTAGTGAAAGCTTTCAGTTAAAATTATAAATTTTAATTTTTGATAACCGGTATTTAGTTTGCCAAAATGCATATAATTCAGAAGAAATTACATGTTTTATATTTCAATAAAAATTGTCGATTTCAGACTGATGAAACTTGTACGTACCTAATGAAGGTTTCAATTTGAATAGGAATAACAAATAACAATAGCTGTGTATTATCGTTTTCGACAAGTGAAACTGGTTACCTATTTTTAAGTATTTTAACTATCGTGAAGTGAACAAAAAATTACGAAATTAGACAAAAGCAGTGGTGGAGACTTATCTTACAGTTATAAATGTAATTTACAATATAATAATAGTTAAGTATATCTCAGTTTTGTAAATTATAATTTAAATTATTCACTCGTGTTCATTCTTTATAGTTATTGGGGTCGTACGCACAGACGCACTGCATAGAATAAGTCAGTATCCAATTTAAATATATAAGTTAATTATTACAGATGAATCTACTTTTAGAAGTAAATAGTAATGGACAAACTAATAGGAACTAGACTTATCATTGGTCTGTCGAAAAATCTCATGCATCCATATAACTTCATGCCCAATATTTTGAAAAATTAAATGTTTTAAGTGGAACTTGGAATTATTATCTGACCTTTTTTTTTTATTGAAGGTAATTGAAATTGAGAAAATTATGCTGAACAGTTGCCAATCATTTTTCAACTAATTAATACAAGCAGAATAGAGCCTATTTTTATGCAAGACATTGCATCGGCACATAATTCTAATGTTGTGAGAGGTTTGCTGGACGAGTACTTCCCTGGAAGATGAACGGGTACGCAAGGTCCACTGTCCAGTACATTGGCCACCAAAATAGCTTGACTTGACTGACACCAATCAATTTTTATTTATGGATTTATTTGAAAAATCTTGTGTATACCCGAGACATTAGAAAACGTCTAGAATGTTTGGGTCCAAAATCTTCAACTCTGTATTTATAATAATGGAGGTCACATACATAAAAAAAATTATATTGAAATGTATTAAAATGATTTTTTTTAATGTGTTTAAATTAACATTAAAAATATTATCTGAATTGTAATTTTAATCTTCACTTAAAGCTCCACTTATAATAATTAGATATTTACTGATTCAGCGTTTCAATCGATATTAATTAAAACATACGATTTGTATTTTTCTAGGTAACATAGTTATTATTAACTATTATTCTTAGAATTCATAATCATAATTATTTGCTCTAACTTGGTTGATTTTCATTAAATTTTAATATTTTTTTTATGGTTATATGTTTATGGTTTATATTAAATTCTGGTTGTCTTATAGCGCACAGCAATTGGTATTTTTATTTAAAAAAAAAAATCAGTGGTGGGAACTTATTATAATTTGGTCATATATAGGTTTGTTATTACTAGCATATCAATAAATAGTAGGTAGTAGGTATAATATTATAATTTATAACCATATTTTAATATTTAACTAAAAATATATAAGTTTATTTATGTAACATGCTCACTAATCAATGTAACATATTTATCCATTTTACAAATTTTTTTAATTTTCAAATTGAATTAAATAAATTAAGTAAATTAAGTAACTTTCTTAACTCTTAAGAATATACTGAATGTACGTCATTTATTTAATTTTCAGTTTCCACTAAAATAGACATAATTGAGATAGTGAAAAAAAAACAATTAATTGTATTTCAAGTTATCAAGAGTAATACACTATTAAGTATAATGGTAGTTCTTATACAATTTCTGTTAAGTTTGAAACATTTTAAATAATAAGAATCTACCATTTATTCAATTAAAACTGTATGGAGTGGTAATCTCCTCAAATCCCTATAAATAAAACACTTTTAAGGTTTGGTAATTCAATTTGAAACTCATTACTCTTACCTTTGAATATACATTTTTTAATAAAATGATTATTATAATTCTGAGTACTATGCAGTAATTGTTTGTAATTAGTAATTAAGTACACTATAATTTTTATTTTTACTTAGTCAAAAAAAATCATCACTTAAAATTCACTTATGAGACAAATTCATTAGGAGATATTGTAATTTAAATTTAAAAAAATAAACAAAAATTATTTAACCACTTATAATTATATATTTTTTTAAATTATTAGACCTTATCTATTTAATATTAAATATTTGTTTAAACACAATTTGACAAAATAGTTACACATAGAAGTTGGCTTTTGTAGTTTTATATCAATGATAAATAAAAATACATTATGACGTAGTAGAAGGAGGAGACACAAGTATGACACCGTCTCCTCTAACAAACAACATAGGTATAGTACGTTTCGTAGTTTTATATACTTCTTCAAATGTTTCTTCATCTACTTCAATTGTAGTAATAGTCTCTTCAGCTTCTCCTAACACCATGTTCAAATGCTGATCAAAAGCCTAAACAATTAACATATTATTTATTTTAATATTATAATATTAGTATAATAAAATCATTTTTCTAGATTTGTTTGGACTGTATGTTGATAACTGAATTATTTAAAGAAACATCATTGATTATAAATACTAGTATTTACAATCAATGATAAAATTTTTGGCTAGTTACTTGATCATTTTAAAAATACAGTTACAAAAATATATTGATAATATTTACATGAAGTCGACCACGTAATTCTCGGTCATGGCGCATCTTAACATAGATTCGTTCATCAACACTAAGACGAATTAAATCTACTGGCTCTTTGATTGTCACTAGTGAAACTGGCTGAAATTAGTAAAAACATAAGATCCAGGGCAAATAAAAAAATTTTAAACAGAAATTCTAATCAAGTTAACATTATTTTACCTCTGATTCTCCGTCTGGCATTTTAGTTACCATAAATACAACGTATTACTTTCTTAAAATAACCGTAACAGACGTAAGCTCGGCCTCAGAATATGGGTAACAGACAAAATAATATGATCGATGCACAAATAATTTTTAATTTTACTGGTGAATGATGATGGTTGTTAAAAATTAAACATAAATGATAAATGTATGTTAAACAACATAACCTCAATGATAAAATATATTTTGTTGTAGCTTAATAAATAAGTACTAGAGTGCACTGTAGGTTATTGTAACAGTATTAAAATATAGAAACCCGAGCAACGCGTCACTGCATAGAGTGAGTAATACTAATACAATATAAATAATATAATATTTACAATTATTAGAGAGTAACCATAAATAATGTATAATTTAGTATATATATATATATACTCTTTTACCTTTGCCTACAATATACAAACATCTATGTGCTCCCCAAATATATTAACGAATTACGAGTTCCTAATAGGTTTCTTAATGCACATATTAAAATTAAAAACGTGGAAAAACTTATTAATTAATAATTATAGTATTCACCACTAACTTATTTTAGGTCCAGATCATTTAACTATAACCAACTGAAATTAAACTATCTATACCTAGTATATCCTCCGAGTACATTCCTTGTTGTGCCAATGAATATGGTTATGGTACCATCAAGGCATCAAATGACATCAATATTGATAAAAATAAAATTCATGAGCATGCATTTATTACGTAGCTACAACTGTACAAGTGTACAACATTGAAAACGTTGAATTGGGAACTGTGAGTTTAACATTTATTTAGTGAGTGATGGTGGTTAGATAAAATACATTTAAGAATAATTGCATAAGTAGGTATTTTAAAGTTTATACCACAGTGTCATTAATATATATGAGCTAGGAACCAATGAATGAATGAACCATACTGTTTTAAGCAGGCCTGTATGGCTTTATCCAGAAGCCAAAGGGGTGATGCAAGTAAGGGGCACAATAATAAAAATGTATACATTTTATGTTGTAAATCAGAATTAAGTAGTAGGTAGTGTTGTAATAACCATTATAGACATTATAAACCTATAGTTTCCCAAATGTTCTTATGGAGATATTATTTTTATAAGATATTAAACAGACCATTGCAGTAGACATATACCTACTGGACATAAATAATTGTAAGTAATTATTTCCAAAAGTGTGTATTATAAAAATGTGATCAAAAAATGCTATAATATTCTTGGGTGAAAAGGGAAAGTAGTTTAAAAATATTTGGGAATAAATCAACATGGGCAATAAAAAGTCATTTTCGTCGAATAATAATTAACTATGGACTATTATAGTATAGTGTATATTAGAAAAATCGTAATCCGGCCGTTTTGTATCGCGGAAAATCGCAAGGGTTGGAAATTAAATAATACATACATATTGATATATAAACTTATTTGAAAATATACGCGAAGTTATGTAAATGTAAGTATATAAACATTACCTCTTTAAAGTATCAACAAAAAGAAAATTCCAATTTAAAAATTAAAATATCACCTATCTTTGGTGTATAGGACATAGGTAGGTACATAAAATATTTGGACTGCCTTATGCATGTCTACCTTGATTATTATAGTAATTAGTGGTTAACTGCTACAGCTTAATATACTTATACATGTGTAAAACTTTAATGCATTCCTTCGTGTATAATTTAAAAATACATTACCAACTGACTGAAAGTGCAAAGATAATCTCTATTGACGTTTTTCTGAGTTTCGAGTTCAACCAATAATCAGTGTAAGTTGTACACTTCTACATCTCATAATGGACTTTTTTAACTATTTGATTGTATTGTTTTGTTCTTATATACGAATATAATATTACACGAATATACGATACACAAATTAGATAGGTACAAGGTAATACTAAGTATAAATAAATAATATCAACAACTAAAATATATGTTTATATATTATATATGTAGTATTATGTACCTACACACTACAAAGTTTAGGAAATTATAAGTTTGTATCTACCAAATTATTGAGTTAAGAATTATTTATTTACTTTGATATATCAGTGTCTACAGCAGAATTGAATTAAAAATATTGAGGTAACTTGCAAATTTTAATCACAGTTATAGATTTTAACAAACATGTTTCTAATTTAACGTGTAACAATCGATTTTCAAATTAAATTAAAATAGCTAGTACCTATTTACAATGGTTAATTAATCAAATTATGCTGATTAACTAATATAGAATTAACTAACTAGTTGAGTTTAAAAGCTTAAAAAATTAATTTTTATAACTATAGTTAATATCAATTTTTCATACATTTACGCTAGGTACACTTAAAGTTATACCTACACATTATAAAAAAACGAATAGTACTAACTTTAAATATTTTTAGTATTTTTCACTAATTATACAATTTACTCTACAAAACTTTAGGGACAATTATTTATTATTTACATGTATAATATGTTATCGGAAAAATGTTTTTTTTTGCTATTGCATATTTGCATTTGAAAATTCTTAAATCATTAAGGTTAGTCTGAATGTTCATTGTTCAGGTTAATTATCTGCAAGACATCTTTTTCAGATACAAGTATACAGCTGGAAGATGAATTTTCTTGTATATTGTGTTATTAAATATACAAATGCATGTTGCTTCTCACTGGTTACTTTATAATATCTATATTGAAAAACGAGTAATGACGATGATGGTGTGACACCGTGGAGTAACTAAGCTGGGGAAGGACGGTCTGTTGTAAGAGTATTTAAAAATAGGTTTTTATTGATCTATAAATTATATCGATACTAAAATAGCACAATATTACTTCGTTTGAAATCTTTTATATTTGTAGAAAGGAAAATTTTCACTGGGCATTAGAAAAAAAATTCTTAATAATATTTAATGAATATTGATCATTAAAATCAACACAATTGAAAAATCTATGTAAACAGTGCAAAATAATATTGGTTGATAACTAAATGAAAAGATGTTTTTAGAATTTGATAAAACCTGTTTTTATTGCTTAAACTATATTATTTAATAAATAAATAAAAAAATACAAATGCTTATTATTCTGGTCAAAAAAATTAAGTATAACTTAAGTAATTTTAATCGAAACAAAACTTTAACCCATTCGTCCAAAAAAATATTATTCTATTATTTTATGGTTTGTACTTTTTGATTACTTTTTTGCAACTTTCCATGCTGTATATCCATTAATCATCTATATTCATAATCGGCATACTCGTAAATTATCAATACATCGATAGAGGCGCTGAGAAATATTTTATGTACCTAGGTGGTTAGGTACCTTCATGACGTTTGCTTACAGACTTGCTCACCTTGGCGCAATCCAGTATGCTGTAGGTACTTATTATTATACATTTTAGAACATTGATATAAATCATCGAATTTGATAAACAATTCTGTTTATCCGAGATTTTCGAAACATACATTTTTTTATTCCATGTTTCCGTATGGATGAAATGACTTTAAACTTAGTACTCGATGTTATCAAAGAGAATATTACAAAATCGGAAACAAATTCCCGAAATACTATATACACTATATACAGCTATACAGGCACGGTCGTGTTTACAGTGATGTATCTGGGAGGCATTTTCAGGGAAAAATAATAAATATCTTACTATGAAGCTATAAAAAAAACCCAATAGTAGTCCTACAGGGTCTCAATATTGATTTTTTTTTTACTGCATACTAGAAATTTATTTTTATATTAGATACGAGGTAGGTTGAACTAATTTCAGCCAAAAGTATCGCTTATAAATTATAATGTATTAATATTAATAATATTATCTACATAAAAATATTAAATTTGTAACTCTAGTAAAAACATTTTATGAAAAATGTTGTATGTATTACATTTTTAAGCTATGGATATATAAAAATTATAAATTTAAAATAATTTCTGAATGTTTGTGAAATTCAAACACTCACAAAAAAAAACTATGTATTTGAATACGTTATGAGCTAATATTTAGTATTACTTAAGAGTAGGACTGATAGAATATAATTGTTATAGAAATCATAAATTACCTTGTTTAACTAAAAGCCTATAGATCTTATTATAAGACATTAAAAATAAATAAATAAATAGTAGTTACTTGCAACAACAATTTAACATGTTAGAAGTATAATTTTACCCTACATATATGACGTATATGATAAACATGTTTTTATATTTTCTCGTATCTTGACATGTTAAATTTCATTTTCACTTTTCAGTTTTCAAAATTATATATTTTAGGAATTATAAACTAGTACCATGAGAATTTGTTGGTACCAAGTAAATAGTAATAAGTATAAATGTATGGCGTATAATGTTTTTTTAACGTTACTTAATCTTATATTTTCAAATATAAGCTTGTTTTACTAATATGATTTTACCTTAGGTCTCAGCGTTTGATTTCTATTGCATGTCCCTCACGCCACCCCAAACCACTTACCTAACGAACTGCTCAGAAAGTTAATGATAAACGTCAATGCGGACCCTTATTTTTCAGTTAAAAATTTTTTCTGATCTTACTTTTTACTTATCTTCGAATGTCGGGCCTATTCGTGTATGCAATATGCCGGAATAGATACCATCACGGTTTAATAATAAACAATTTAATCAGTTTATTATAAATATAAAGACAATACTCATGCCTAATTAATTGCATACTAAATAATAGCGTTAAATCTTAAATAATACCTATTTAATATTTTTATAAGACAAAAGGGTTATTACATAAACGACTTAACATAAGTATAGTCGATATATGATAAACAATCACTGGAAGTATTGATGTTGTATAAATAGTTATCTACCCAAATATATAAAAGGCTGTGTGTATGTGGTTGTGACTTATACATTTAACTACTTGACCGATGTTTATTAAAATTTCAGAGGTTGTTCTTTGGTAGCCTGGAAGGTTAAGAGACTAGAGAGTAATTACTATTCAGATTTCAGGACCACCATGGTTATTTTTATATTTTTGTTGATACATGCCATGTAAAGTATAAGCAACTAATAACTATCATATATGAATGCTTTGTAACTATAGGTGCATAGTGTTGGAGTATAGCCTCTGTTATCAGTTTTTGTTAATGAATCGAAACTTTGTGTGAAAACTTCAAATTAATAATTTTACAGATAAGAAACAAAGCCAGAG